TCGTCCTTTTAGGTTTGAGGAAGCTTGGATGGAGCATGATGACTATGAGAGAACAATTAAAGAAGCTTAGGTTAGTAGAAACTCAAGTTCCCATGTGTAGGATTTAGCAGATGTGATTGGTTCTTTGAAACCTATTATGGGAAATTGGAACAAAACTTGTTTTGGAAATATTCATCAAAATGTCAAAAATGCAATGAATTTGCTAGAAAGAGCCCAAAATGACCCAACTACTTTCATAAACAGTAACCTTATTTAGAAATTAAAAAATGACTTGGACCATCACTTCGAAATTGAGGAAATTCATTGGAACCAAAAGTCTAGGGTTTCTTGGATCAAGTGTGGAGACAAGAACATAAAGTTCTTTCATGCATTCACCATTACTAGAAGATTTAGAAATAGAATTAAAGTCTTAAGGGATAATCAAAGGCATTGGATCACAAATCGAGAGGACCTCTCTAGTCACATAACTGAGTTTTTCTCTACTCTCTATACTAGTGAAGCTAGCCAACTTCAAGAAGAGCTTCTTAGTCTAATCAAAAATAAAATTGTAAACGAGCAAGCAAAGGCCTTAGAAGCTCCAATCACATAGGATGAAATTCTTAAAGCTCTTAAGCAAATGGCACCCTCAAAAGCTCCCGACCCTAATGGGCTACCAAATGTCTTCTTCCAAAAGTATTGGAGTATTGTGGGGCAAAGTATCATGGAGGCTATAAAAGAATTATGACACTAGAAAATGAATAAAGATCTAAATAGCACTTTCATTGCTCTAATTCCAAAAATTGACCACCCATATCAGTTTAGACCAATAAGCCTTTGTAATACCCCCTATAAATTAATTGCTAAAGTTTTAGCTAATAGGTTGAAAGGGGTGATGGATGTTTTGGTAAGTCCAATGCAGAGTGCTTTCATTTCAGGGAGATCCATTTCAAACAATATTCTTATAGCTCATCGAGGTATATGGCTCTTAAACTTGACATGATGAAGGCTTGTGATAGAGTGGAGCGGGACTTTCTTGACAAAATCTTGAAAAAAATGGGCTTTGGTCTAAGATGGAGAACATGGATACTTCAATGTGTGTCCACAATCACCTATAGAATCATTTTAAATGGCTCTCCAGGCAGCGTTATAACTTCTAGAGGGCCACTTCCTCCTTACTTGTTCTTATTGATCTTTGAAACTTTCTGTACTAGTATCTTTGTTAGTCTAGAAGAAAAGAAAATTTCAAGAATCAAAATCTACAAAAATGTGCTCATAGTTACTCACCCTTTATTTGCCAATGACAGCTATGTCTTTGTATAAGAAAACTTTCAAGAAGGGGAGGAAATTTTGAGAATTCTAAATAGCTATGAAAAAGCTACAAGTCAAAAAGTGAATTTCCAAATGTCTGAATTTTTTTTTTTTTTTTCAGTAAGAACACTCCATTGAGATTTCAAAGATTAATTGCTAGGAGTATGGGAATGAAAAAGGTGGAGAATCCTAGCATTTATCTAGGGCTTCCAACAGAATTACAAAGATCAAAGAACAAATCATTCGAGTTCATCATTGAAATAATTGGTCATAAAGTGTTGGAAGGAGAAATTCCTAACCCAGGTAGGAAAAGAAATTCTTATAATGTTAGTAATTTCTGCTTTACTTGTCTACACAATGTCTTGTTTCTTAGTTCCCAAAAGTTTTTGCAAAACCATTTCAAAACTTCAGAGGCAATTCTGGTGGGGTGCTTTAAACCTTCAAAGGAAGATAAGCTGGCTTAAATGGACAATCCTTTGTAGAAATAAGGAGGGTGGCTTAGGCTTTAGGGACCCTCACATTTTCAACCTAGCTTTATTAGCAAAATAGGCCTGGAGAATTCTAACTAATCCTACAAACTTACTTGCTCAAATTTACAAAGCTTGTAACTTTGGCAATGAACAGTTTCTAAGAGCCAAGACCCCTCACCACAACTCTTGGGGATGGAGAACTGTGTGTACTGGTAGAGAGGTTTTAAATGAAGGTTGTGTCTGTAAGATAGCTAGTGGAGAGGAGTGTTAGACAGTTGTATGCCCTTAGATTCAATCAGAATGATGTACATTATGAATTTACTGTAAATGAATAAAGTACGTTAAAATTTTGTTTTGCAAAATATATTTATATATTGATATACTTATATATGTTACGGTTTCTAAAACGTTTGCAAAAGGTTTTAATTCCCGGGATCCATGTGAGCAAAGAGTGCAGCACTGTTCCTTGCAGTCGAGGGAGAGGTCCTCTCTTGTCGGGCAGTGCTTGATCATTATGGGCTGAGAGGTTAAGTGTAAGATCATTGAGGGTAATACCTGATAGGCTAATCTTGCATCTGCCCACAGTCCCTGTGTGTTACAAGGTGGCTTGGCCCAGGGATCACTTAGGGTAAGTGTTGGGCCCATTAGGAGCCCATGTGATGGGCTTCAGGGGGTGCACTATCCATAACAGTGTATTCGGCCAGGCCTTATAACAAAGGTTGGGCCGAACCCATGTGGCTGATGTGTAGATCAATGTTTGGGTCCCACGCCATACAAGGAAGCCCAACTGAGCAGTAGTTTGGAAGGCTAAGTGAGCATATGTCCTAAATGGGCCTAAAGCCCATTTTGAATTGGGCTGATTTGATCAGTTAAATAAGGGGCAGATCTGCAGATCTGGGATTAAATCAGCTGATAGGATTGGGCATTGACCCTATCCACTCAGAGAGTCCATGATCTAAATAAGATTTAGATCTGGAAGTCTTCTAATAGGATTAGGAGAGGACTGATCTAATCTGTAGATAAGATAAGGGTTAACCCTTATCACTTAAAGAGACTTCTGATCCAAATATGATTTGGATCAGCAACTCTTAATGGGATTAGGAGCTGATCCCTTTAAGCCTATAAAAGGAGGAGGGGGCGGCAACCTTTAGAGATTGATGTTCAATCAAGTACTCACATTCTCTTCAGAGCTGAAATCACAGGAGAAAGAATTCAGCAACCCTGCGAAATTCTTTCTTGCCGCCTCCTTCTTGTCGCCGCCATACCTCCAGTTCGATCTCCAATTCAGTGGGAGAAATCAAGATTGGATCTTGATATCAGTTTCTTGTGAAGGGACTGATAGGAAGTTGTGCTCACGTGCCGTCCTGCTAATTCTTGTGAAGGATTAGGTTCTTGGGAAGAACACTGCTGATTCTGCTCCATCCTGCACTGCGCCATCTTTAATGGGAGCAGTCTTTGGATCCTTCCTTGGGCGTGAACACTTTCGTTGGGAGATATTATTTCCCCGTATCAAGTATATCCCTCTCTTACTACTTTTGGTTCAGATTTGATTCGGTTCTTGGTTCAAGATAGATCCTTGAAAATTGTGAATTTTCTAAAATAGGGAATTCGATTCCCAATAGAGATGGGAGAAATTTTTGAAATTCGCCCAGTCTTTTCCGCAAGATTTGGGCGTCCATACGATAGATATCCCATCCCTTCAAGGAGGTGGACATTTGGAAGGATCATTCGCTTCCCAACCTGCCCAACTTTAAAAATCCCTATGACAGGCCGGTGGATTGTCCAGTTAGAAAGGTTTCAAAGTTGATTAACCATAGGGATCAGTTTTGGAATTCTAGTCTCCTTAAATCCCTTTTCCCTCCAAATATTGCCAATGAAATCCAGAAAATCTATATCCCATTCTCTTGTAGGGAGGATAAATGGTGTTGGGTTCATGATAGGAAAGGGATCTTTTCAGTGAAATCCGCCTATATAGATCTCAGAAGACTAAGATGGATGGGTGTTCTGCTAGCTTTTCGATCATACTAATGATCGAAGTAACTACTAGGAGGTCCTTTGGTGTCTTGAGCTTCCATCTAAGATAAAAATGTTTTTTGGAGAGCTTTACATAATAGTCTTCTAGTGTTAGAAATTAAAGACTAGTTAGAAGAGGGCTAGCTATTGATAGTACTTGCCCGGGTTGTGGTAAGGAGGTAAAGTCAATATCCCATGCTCTCTTGTACTGTGAAGATATTAGACCAATTTGGTTTACATCTTCTTTGAGCCTGAGGCTTGATTCTGGGTCCCTCCAATCTCTTGGTGACTGGCTTGTATCTAGACTAGCAGGTTTGCAAGAGAGAAAACTAAAGTAAAAAACATCTGCTCATATTTTATAGCTGTTTGTTGGTGCATTTGGTTAAGAAAAAATAAAATCTCTTTTGAAAATCAAGTCAGTAATGGTCAAGATGTTCTCTCTTATGCTCATAGGATTTTGATGAATTCAAGAAATCTAGATCTGAAGAGCACCCTAAATCAACAGTTAGCTACTCGGTCCCACCGAGTGAGGGAGCTTCATCAAACTAATTTTATTCAGCTTTGGACTAATGGCAATTTTTTTTGAAGAACAACTATGCTGGCTATGGTATTTTTCATCTCAAATGGCAAGGGAGAATTTGTAGCAGCTCAAACTACAGCCAATGTTCCAAGATCTGCAATTTTCTCAAAAGCTTTTGCAGTTCTATCAGACCTTAGACTAGCAAACAGTTTGGGACTTCGGTCTACTACTGTTAATAGCGATAACTCGATCCTTTTGACAACCCTTCAGTCTATTCTAGACACATCTCTTCTGAAGTGTGGTTTTTGGTTGATGAATGAATTTTCCCTACAAAAAAAGAAAAAAAATCAACTGTAACATGTGAGGACGGTGTAAGGATTGATTTTGTGAAGATTAAATCCAAATTCTTCAAATCTTAAATTATTAACAGTGGAAAATCAACTTCAGTACTCATAAGACCATGTCGGCATTTTCACATCATTCACAATCGCACAGCCTTATACCGTGTATTGGGAATAGTACTTTATGTTATTTTATGAGAAGATATTTCCGTTGCAAGACTGCAAGGAAATGTGCGAACGGTGTGAGGAGGTATGGTCAGTACCAAATCCGAGATATTGTACACTCGTGTCGTAAGTAGTAACTAGTAACCTTTTCTAACTTCATTAACTCATTATGGTTCATGCCCTACGAAAACCAAACCCGAATCCAAGTAGCGTTTCTCTTTTTTAAAACGTTCCCCAAACCCGCCAACAACACTTTGATTAAACCCAGCCAAAACCCTTCCTTCACCATCTCCCTCCCTCAGAACTCTTCGCGGCATTTCTGTTCTTCCGAATTTTATATGTCATTAAATATTCATTATTCTTTACTCTCATCTCTTTCCGGTGCTCTGAATCCTCTCTTTGCTGCTCGATCTAGGGTTTCTATTAACTCAGAGCTCTAGAATTTCTGTAGCTTGTGATTTTAGGGTTTACAATATCGAAAGAGGAAGATGTCGTGGGAAGAGGAGATTGTCGTCCGGGATGTAACAAATGCTGGTCTCGTCGTGAGCGACCGCATTGCGAGGGATGTCTCTGCTCAGCTCGACCTGGAAGAGGCCCTAGAAGCTTCTAGGTATGCGAGCCATCCGTACTCTTCTCATCCCAGAGAGGTAATTCTCAAGTTTCTCCGTGAAATGTTGCAATGCATATTACTAGAGATGTGTTTTGGAAGGTAATTGTTATTGGGCTTGGTCACTTGAAGTTGGTTAGTTGTCCTTTGAAAATGCTAAGTTCAACTTGTTATTCTTAATATTCCAACAAATGGTTTGAAATAAAAGTTTAGGGATTATTTGTTGGGATGACTTGGAGATGTAATTTCATCTATCTACAATAGGTGGGGGGGGGGGGTGGTCTGTCCATTAATGGTCTGTATTGATGACAGAGCACACTTACGGTCATGGCCAATATATATAATAAATTCATAAGGAATATTATGCATGCATACTTAACCTCATAAAAGGAAGAAAAGGTCAGGGTCCCTAATTGTATATTTGGGGTTAAATTGTTTTTATTATCGTCAGGGATAAAAACAATACCCTCTTAACCAATAGTCAAGGTAGTGTCTAGTGTGGGAGCTGGAGCTATGTCTGGGATGTTTTATTTTCTTTTTGGTGGTAGTGGGGATAGGGTGTCTTCATCACTGTTGTTTTCTTTTTCTTGGGTATTTTCTTTTCATAAATGAGTCGAGGCTGTAACTACTTATTGTCCAAATATTTGACTATGCAGTTATTTTCTTATGATGTTCAATGTGCTGCATTAAGTTCTAATCACTACATTACGTTTTGCAATCTTCCTGGTTCCCTGCATAAGGGATTGTCTGAATGCATCAACTTCCATAACACTAGGGAGTTTATTATGTTACCTGAGTCATCAGGAAGTAGGATATAATACAATTTTAAAACCTAAAATATTCTTTCCATATCCCCCTCTTCCATGTCGTTGCCAAACTGCTTTGGCTTTTGTACATTGTGTTTATAGTGATGAAGGTTTACATGCTTCATAGTAAACCAGACAGACTTGGTTGCTTATGTGGTTTTCTGGAATCACCATCTATCGGTGTCACTTGATGACTACTCTGTTGGTATCCATGTTAAATAGGCATTAATAGCTTCTTTATACATTTTCATGAAAAGCTAACTGCCCTTTTTATGATTATTAATAACTCATGGTATTTGTACTTACATTTTATGGATTATTCAAGTTTTGATTGAATACACCATAACCATGTTGAGATATGTTCTCCCCATATATCTTTTGACAATTTCGTTTATTCTTCATACTATTATGAGCATCTAGTTGTTTCCCATTTCAATTTGTTTTGCAATACTAGAATGTGTGTTATCACATCTTGGATGGTTAGAAGTGAAACATTTTTTTTTTCATATTTTATTTGTATTCTTCCCACTATAGTGGCCTCCTTTGGTTGAAGTTGTGGATACTTGGGATTTGCCTCCTGTGCTTGTTGAAAGATATAATGCAGCTGGTGGAGAGGGAACTGCTTTGTGTGGAATATTTCCAGAAATACGCAGGGCATGGGCATCTGTAGATAACTCTCTGTTTCTTTGGCGCTTTGATAAATGGTGAGTTTTTGATTCCAAAGAAAAGTTGTAAAATTTTGTTTCCTCGAGAATTCTGCCTGTGGAGCATGGAGATATGCTTATTCTTATTATTGGTTAGCAGTTAGCTGGTGATTTCATTATTTCAACCTTGTTTACATGGGGGTCACTTATTTTTGGTAGTAATCGATAGCTGTCAGTTCTGTAAGCATTTAAAATGCAAAATAGTGAGGTCCATGTTTTTTGATGACAATTTACTGTTCAAGGGGGTATGGTGAATTGATTTTGGTATAAATCAACCCAAAGCTGTCTTGACCTTGAACCTCTGCTGACCCATCCTGAAGTGGTAATTCCTCAGTCCAAGCACAAGATTAGGTCAACTTGGGTTTAGAATATGATTAGAAGACACTTAGATCTTTCACCTGTAAAATGGGGGGGTATACTTGACTAGCAAGTCTTGAACTGAGGGCCTTACTTGGCACTTGACCACATTGCTTTCAAAGTTGTTATCTGTCTGTCTCTATCTATCTGTCTATCTATATCTATATACACACACATGACTATTCTCAGGCTTGGCAGGGTCTTAGTCCAAGCCCAACTAGAGTTTAGGCTGCTGGAGACTTTTAGGCCAATGCCAACCTTAGATTGTTATATATGTAATTAATTCTATCCATTGGAGAACCTGTTATTGGTTCAATTTCATTTCAATACAGGTAGATTCTATATGAAATTCATTTCTTGTTTCAAACATGTTCTTTTTTGTGGGATTAGGGATGGTCAATGCCCTGAATACAGTGGTGAGGAACAAGCTATATGTGCTGTTGGCCTGGCAAAATGTAAGCCTGGCATTTTTGTTGAAGCCATACAATATCTTTTAGTCCTGGCAACTCCTGTTGAGGTAAGAAAATTTGCTACTTAAGCTTCGATTTGTTATTATTATTTATTTTTAAATCATTTCTGTTAACATGTTTCTAAGTTACCTCTTATTACGGACTTATAAATAATCTTTGATGGTATTTCCTTTTCTGTTTCTCTTAAGGATGTTTTTATGACTCCTTTCTTTTTCTCTTCTGGAAAATAATTATAAAGGATGATAATTTTCAGTTGGAATTCCTATTGTTTCCAAAAACCTGGAAAATCCGTTTAATTGTATAGTGATGGGTTGTGGTGATCCGGAATTACCACTACCACAATTAGATCTGCTCCGCTTGAGTTGTGAGCTTTTTCTCGCAACAGTTATGAAATGAAATATGACTCCAAAAGTCACAAAAAAGGTAGGTGAAAAGAAAGATGCTTGTTTGTCATTTCAAGCCTGTTTTTTAGATAATTTATTGGTGCAATTAAGCAAAGTCTTGGAGACTGTATTTAATGATTCAGCTATAGCACATGGGATTGGAATTTATTTTGAAAGATTTTGAGTTCTAATCCCCTCTTGAGAGAAACACTGCTTTCTGTACAACATTTATTGTTAGTTCTTATTGGGTCTTTTTGAAAAAAAAATTTACAGGAAGAGATCAAGATTACAAAAACATTGAATCATGGTTGTAGTTGATATTATTCAACTTCAACCAGTCTTTACATTAAGCAGTCTAAAAAATTATTTCTAGAACCTCATTTTCGTGATTTCTGACCCCAACTGCTACTGTAATACCATATATTTCTACCAAATTTAACCTTAGAGGCATCTGAAAGAGCTCCAAAGCAACCATGAAACCTAAATTTCTCTTCTTTAGGGCCTGTACTTGTGGCAGACCAATCTGGTTCATCAAACTTCAAGTTCTTCAGTGGTTGAGCTAACTCTTTCCCCAGCTCCTCCCAGATGGCATTTGTTGGTTTTATCCAACAAATGCCAAAGGTTCTGGCCTTGATAATTTAGTTTGGATATCTTTTTATGGCAGGTACCAGTGATTTAAAAGGCGCACCTGAGGCATGCCTAGGCGCATATGTGAGGCGCATTTGAGGGTAGGCGCCTTGCCCAGGTCCTAGGCACAGCACTTTCAAAAGGCACGTGCCTGGTACACCTAGGTGTGCACCTGATGCGCCTTGCGCCTTAAAAGGCAATTAAAATTATAAAATCATTATTTCCTGTGTGAAAATTAGGAATTTAAGACCCTAACATGGACTTGTTTGGGCTTGCCTTGAGGGGTGTGGCACAAAGGCGGCTCGTAGAATCAGGAATGTAATATTTTTTACATCACATTAGCTACTTGAAGTAATGTAATTGAGGAAAAGAGAGATTGTGGGTTTTACATGCTTGAAAATGTTTTATATGTTTGATTTTATTTTTAAATTATCATTTGAATATACTTTACATGTTATGTTTATGTATTTTAATTTTAGATAATAGGTTTTTTAAAACATTAATTTTAAAATTTAACTTTATATTTTTTTATTAATACTATGTTTAATATTTTTTGATTTTTTGCATTTTTTGAAAATTTTGGCATTTTTTGAATTTTCTGATATATTTTTTTTATTTTTAGCATTCTCTTGTGTTTTTGCGCCTTGCTTCAAAAATGTGCGTGCCTCACCTTGCGCCTTGCACCTTGGGCACAAATTGGCCCATGTGCCTTTTTCGCACCTTGCGCTTTTAAAACACTGGCAGGTACTTTTGATTTTTTTTTTTTTTTCTGATCAGTAATTAATTTCATTAATGAAATAAGGTAAGAACCTCGCCCCTCAAGCATGGAGATGAGTACCAAAATATAATATACAACCGGCCAAAATTTTTTGGTTTGTATTGATTAAAAAAATTGTTGGTTTGCCCCCTACTTCCTTAGGTAGCAAGAAAAAACACGAAGTCACATTTCAGTCCTTGACCCTGGGCCCCAAGCTGTCCCAGCTTGAGACAAGGCATCTGCCAGACTATTAGCAGCCATATGGGTCCACTTGAACAGGCAGTCACGTTGGCTTTTAGTTGCTTAGCCTCTCTGATAGTCTGATTAGATGTCCTAATGCTCGTAAGGCTGAAATATCAGAAGAGAACCATGATATCATGACCTGAAAGTCACTTTCAACATCTAAATTTGATACATTGGTAGATGATGCTATTCTGAGGCTTTGCAGGAAGGGTTGGAACCTCAGTTTTTAGCAGGCCTGAGAAGATAAGAGTAATACTTCCATTTTTATCTCTATTAGTTCCACTTATCCTTGATTATCCTGGATTTCCAAGACTACAGCCATCAAAGTTTAGCTTGAATCATGAAACATTCAGGACTTATGTGGGTAGGAAACTCTTTAAGAGCCAAGTTTCTATCATTATCACAATGTTTAAAATTGGGCTACTCTTTGGATTAGAATTTTCTGATCATAGAAGTTGACATGTCAAATTGTCATTGGGTGGTTCTTGGCAAGTTCAGGCAGATAATGACTAGCTATACTAGTGTATATACATCTAGTCATGGTTTGCCACCCCTCCCAATAGCTAGGGCCAATATTGGGTAATGGCTCTTTTAGTTGTAGTATGGCTCCATTTGCTTCTTGATGTTAAATTGTAACACATAGGGATATGCCAGAGTTGTCCCATGCAATACTGCTTACTACCTTATGCCCCCTATTTTTCTTTCTATAAATAATCCCATTGCATCTGTTCCTTCTTTTATTCTTGAGATAGTTCTAGGTCATGCACTTTGATAAATGTTTGATTGATCTTTGTAAATGTTAAAAATTTTCAAATCTTCATTACATGGATGTTTCTTTTTGTGCAAATTTTGTTTCTCATCACATGTGATGAAATATCTGTTATTAGTTCATTTTTATGGATACCTTCAGATTTTATTAAAAGAATCAAAGAATAGTGTGTACATGTGAAATCTCATCAATTAAGGCTTCACAACCCTGTCCCCATCCCTGAACATAAGTATCTCTAACATCAGTACATCACAAGTTCATTACAATGTCCCCAAAATAATGTTCTTTTTACTCCCTGTCTAGACAACCATGCCCGTGACTGACCTGCTAACTCATTTTCTGTGATTCTTCCCTACCCATCTCCTGTGTTTCCTTCATTTTGTTCCAATGCATAGCCAATCCACAACCACTTCTGAATCACTCTCCACCACTATGACAGTATGATATTAAAATTAACATCCTTGCTACCCTTAGCGTTGCAACGAAGCTTTTAATTCTGCTGTGGTTGAATCCACATATCCAATTGTACCTGAATAGAGAGCTAGTACTGTTCCATTGCAGTCCCTAAACGTCCCTCAAATACCTGCTGGCCCCGAATTACCCATGCTACCACCATCAAAGTTCAATTTAATTGTGCCTGGCCCTGACCCTGGTGGTTCTTATTATTAGAAAAATATGATTGCTATGCATTGATAAGCTGGCTATCAAACTCCACCTTCTTTGTAAGTGCACTGGGAATCCCTCAAAAGCCTCTAGTGTCTTTACCTAGTGAATTACCTTAATGGAAATGCTATCTATCATATCTCCTCTCTCCTTGACTCCCAAACAGTCCATAGGATAGCTTCTCTTCTGCATCTCCACAGGATGTGAGAACCATTACCAAATACTTACAATGTAGGGGCGGGAGATTACTAGATGATAGGTTGACTCTTCACTTGCTCAACAGAGAAAGCATATGCAATGAGATAAATTCCAAGAGGTCCTTTCTTTTTGATGGTTTCACAAGCATTATGGACAACCTCCCAACAGAAAGTCCTCACTTTGTATGGGACAGGTGTACTCTAAACCTCCTTCATTGGAAATATTTGTGCTTGAGGTTGCATGACTCTTCATTGCATAATTATGGAGACCCTCCATGGAGTCTGTTGTGTATAAAACATTAATTTCACATAGATTTTATGGATGTATACTCTCTTTTTATTAAAATTATCACATTGCTACATTTTTATTGTTCCAAGTGGTTGACATGTATCTCAACTTTGGATACAGTTGATCAGATTTTCCTTCCAAAGTGGTTTTTGAATTGTATACAAATACGAACCTTCTGTTTTCTCTTCCCATTGTATTCTTTTAGTTCCTTGGTGGTAATTTTAGTAACTACTGATGAACCATTTCATTGTCATTAGTTGATTCTCGTAGGGGTATGCTGCAGTGGGAGGGGAGATGGAACAGATCCATATGCTGAGGTTTCACTTCAACCCTTGCCTGAGTATACAATACCATCTGATGGTGTTACCATGACTTGTATCACATGTACAGATAAGGGTCATATCTTCCTTGCTGGTCGTGATGGCCACATTTACGAGATGCAGTATACAACTGGCTCGGGATGGCATAAGCGTTGCCGCAACGTTTGCCTTACTGCAGGTTTGGGAAGTGTTGTTTCAAGGTATGTGGTTCTGTTGGATTATGAGGCTTCATGTTGTTCTCGGAGCTTCTTCTAATGCTTAGATATTTTGTACCTGTGTTAGGTGGGTTGTACCAAATATTTTCAAGTTTGGAGCTGTTGATCCCATTGTTGAAATGGTTATGGATAATGAGAGACACATCCTGTATGCGCGGACAGAAGAGATGAAACTTCAGGTGTTTGATCTTGGGGAAAATGGTGATGGTCCACTGAAGAAAGTTGCAGAAGAAAAGAATTTAATCAATCAGAGGGATGCACAGCATGGAGGCAGGCAATCTGCAGGGTCAAGAGCTTCTTCCCGAGGAGCAAAGCCTTCTATAATTTGCATTTCCCCTTTATCGATGGTGGAATCAAAATGGCTACACCTTGTTGCTGTTTTATCAGATGGTAGAAGGATGTACCTTTCCACTTCTCCTTCTGGTGGGAACAGTGGAACTGTCAGCTTGGGTGGACTAAATTCTTCTCGTCAGAAGCCATGCTGTTTAAAAGTTGTTACAACAAGACCTTCACCTCCTTTGGGGGTTAGTGGTGGGCTTACCTTTGGAGCCATGTCTCTTGCCAGTAGGCCGCAGGCTGAGGATCTGGCTCTGAAGGTAGAAGCAGCATATTACTCTGCAGGCACTCTTATTCTTTCTGATTCATCTCCGCCAACCATGTCGTCTCTTCTAATTGTGAACAGGGATTCCAGCACACAATCATCTGCTTCAGCTAGTTTTGGGACTAGTGCAAGGAGCACTCGAGCCTTACGGGAATCTTTATGTTCCCTGCCTGTTGAGGGCCGAATGCTCTTTGTTGCTGATGTTTTACCACTTCCAGATACAGCTGCTACTGTGCAGTCACTGTATTCATATTCCGAATCCTGGGGATTTGAAGGCTTGGGAGAAGCATGTGAGAAAGCATCTGGAAAACTCTGGGCTAGAGGTGACCTGGCAACGCAACATATATTACCAAGGAGGAGGATTGTTGTATTTAGTTCCATGGGCATGATGGAAGTAGTTTTCAATAGGCCTGTGGACATTCTGAGGAGGCTCTTGGAATCCAACTTACCAAGATCAACATTAGAGGATTTCTTCAATCGTTTTGGAGCTGGAGAGGCTGCAGCAATGTCTTTAATGCTGGCTGCAAAGATCATCCATACTGAAAACATAATAAGCAATGCTGTTGCTGAAAAGGCAGCAGAAGCATTTGAAGATCCACGAATTGTTGGGATGCCACAACTTGAAGGTAGTGCTGCACTGTCAAATACCAGGACTCCCCCTGGAGGCTTCAGCATGGGTCAGGTTGTTCAAGAGGCTGAGCCCATCTTTTCTGGTGCCCATGAAGGACTCTGCTTGTGTTCATCAAGATTGCTTTTCCCTGTTTGGGAGCTTCCTGTTGTTGTTGTAAAAGGCCATATAGGTTCTGATACGGGTTTTGAGAATGGGGTGGTTGTTTGCAGACTCTCTGTTGGGGCAATGCAAGTTCTTGAAAGCAAAATTCGTTACTTGGAGCAGTTTTTGAGATCTAGAAGGAATCAGAGAAGGGGACTCTATGGCTGTGTTGCTGGTCTAGGGGACTTGACTGGTTCTATTCTGTATGGAGCTGCTTCAGAGTTAGGAGTTGGTGAGCGGAGCATGGTAAGAAACTTATTTGGTGCATATAGAAATGTTGATTCAAGTGATGGTGTGGCATCTAATAAAAGGCAACGGCTTCCATATAATCCTGCAGAATTGGCTGCCATGGAGGTAAGTAGAACTTCTTCTGGTTTTATGTACCCTTATAATTTGTTGACTTTTCTCATCTTTTGATTGATTGCACTGCAGGTGAGGGCAATGGAATGTATCAGGCAATTGCTCCTTAGGTCTGCTGAAGCACTGTTTTTGCTCCAACTTCTTTCACAGCATCATGTGGCTCGTTTGGTTCAGGGGTTTGATGCCAACCTACGGCAGTCATTAGTCCAACTGACATTCCATCAGTTAGTTTGTTCAGAGGAGGGTGATCACCTTGCAACGAGGCTCATCTCTGCTCTTATGGAGGTAAATGAGGTTATAGTTATATGACAAACCATTAGAGGAAGCCTTGTAGAGACCAGCTTATATTATCAGCAACAGTGATCATTGTTTTTATTAATAGATAGAGAAAAATCCCTCTATTCCATATTGTCTGGAGTGGATTTTTAGTTGGATATGAAACTTGCTATACTTAAATTTGCACGTCTTATTCCTTACTATTAACTGTCATTTTATTGTTCCAGTACTATACTGGTCCTGATGGCAGGGGGACAGTGGATGATATTAGCGGGAGACTACGGGAAGGTTGTCCAAGCTATTACAAGGAGTCTGACTACAAATTTTACCTCGCTGTGGAGTGTCTTGAGAAAGCTGCTGTCACTGCTGATACTGAAGAAAGGGAAAGTCTTGCTAGAGAGGCTTTTAATTGTTTAACCAAAATCCCTGAGTCAGCAGATTTGACCATCATTTGCAAACGATTTGAAGACTTAAGGTTAGATAATTTTGAAATACAAGGGCTAGTAAATTCTCTTCCTCTGGTTTTCACATAACTAGTTAAACATGAAACCACTGGTCTCTGAGTATTGCAGATTTTATGAGGCTGTGGTCCGCTTACCACTACAAAAGGCACAAGCTATTGACCCTGCCGGTGATGCTTTCAATGATCAAATTGATGCAAGCATTCGAGAAAATGCACTTGCTCGACGCCAGCAGTGCTATGAGATAATCACAAGTGCATTGCGTTCCCTGAAGGGTGATGTTGGGCATAAAGGATCACAGAGGGAATTTGGGTCTCCCATTAGATCTGTTGCACGATCAGTTCTTGATCAGGTTTCTCGGGATAGATACATACGCCAGATTGTTCAGCTTGGTGTCCAGTCACCTGACAGAGCATTTCATGAGTATTTGTACAGGGCAATGATTGATCTGGGTCTTGAAAATGAGTTGTTGGAGTATGGAGGTTCAGATTTGGTGCCTTTTCTGCAGAGTGCTGGCCGTGACGTAAGATATTTAGACCATGCTGGATATTATGTATTGGGACTTTTTTTTTTGAATTTAACGTGTACCTTCAATTTTTACTATTTTTTCTTTTGATAATTTAAAATGGTATCTTGGGGCTATTTCTTTGTTGGAAATTAAAGAACATTTGCAGTAATGTTTCATATTGTCTTATTTCTCTTTGATCTTCATCCTCTAGGTTCGAAATGTTTCCCCTGTAACTTCAGAAGCTTCTCCAATAAATCATTTGGGGACACCTATTCCTTCTAATCAAGCCAAGTACTCTGACCTTCTGGCGAGGTACTATGTATTAAAGCGGCAACATGTCCTTGCAGCTCATGTATTGTTAAGGTTGGCAGAAAGGCGGTCCACTGATGCTGCGGATGCCCCTAAACTAGAGCAGAGGTCTGCAATGGGTATTTAGCATTTTTTCTATAACAGTTATGTTTGATTATTGCTTCTTTTTATTTAATATTTTACTTTTATTTTGCATTTTGAATATAGTCTGGCCAAAGTGATGTTTATTAGATCTTTTAATAGATTATTGTTTTCTTTTTGAAACCAGGCGCCAATACCTCAGTAATGCAGTTCTGCAGGCAAAGAATGCAAGTAATGATGATGGTCTAGTAAGTGCAACCCGTGGTCCTATTGACAATGGGCTGCTGGATTTGCTTGAAGGGAAGCTTGCTGTTCTTCGATTCCAAATGAAGATTAAAGAGGAACTAGAAGCTATAGGTTCAAGACTAGAAAGTTCATCTGAAGTTGTTCCTGGTGATCCATTTCCTCAGAGGAACTTGGTTGCTGATGCCAATTTTGCAAACTCTGCAAAAGAAAAGGCCAAAGAGCTATCATTGGATTTGAAAAGTATCACTCAATTATACAATGATTTTGCAGTTCCATTTGAGCTTTGGGAGGTATTTCTTTCTCTTTCTCTACATACATATGCATGTATTTATGTATGTATACATATGTAGGTGTGCACATGCACAACTGTGTGCGTGCATACTTGCATATGCATGAACATATGACATATGTATATGGATATAAACACACAGAATTACTTGCATGACAAATCTATCTTTCCATCTAATAAAATTGTTGTTTGGATAATTATTTGGAACCTAAAAGGAAAGTGTATCTCTTAACTACCTTTTTATCTCTAAGGTGATGTTTACTTTCATGAGTTCTGCTAAATTGTTATGGGATTTACCTTGCTGTGATGAAGATTGCACTATGTCCCCTTTTGTTCTTTTCTTTTTAATATATGCCTCGAAACATGTAGCTAAATAATTTTTCAGAAGCCTAGTGTTTCCTTTTCTTAAGAATAAAATTCTTCCATTTATCTATATAAAAGAAATAATGTTACCATTTGAGGGAAGAAAACAAGCAAATTTTCTTTTCTTTTGAGACAAAAACAGGCAACATTTCTATGATGTAATTTCTAAAGTATACTTGCATCCAATTTTGTTTCTTACAATTCCTACCTTTTTTGGTGAATCAGCTATATGACTTTAGGTTAAACAATAGGGGAGAGGGACCCAAGCTTTCTCACCCTATTGCCCTCTTTTTAGCTTCTGGATATTCCTATCACAGATATCTTTTTTCCGTTCATGTAGAATAATTTAGGGTGTGTTTGCCAACGTGACTGATTTTGATTTCTGCCATTTGAAAAATTGAAATCAATAAAATCTTGAAAAACCTGATTGCCAAACCTCTGGTTCTGTAGTTTTTGTGGAACCTGAAGCATTCCAATATTGAAATATTCCATTGATTCAGGGATTGAAATTTGAAGCTTCTTGAATCTGGAGACCAATTTCCATCTTTGTGGGTCTCACTGTTTGCTTTGCTGATGTATGGAGCTGCAACTTCCCAGTGATTAAATTTCTTTCTTTGTTCCAAGAGATAAAAGATTTGGTGCTTTAGTTGCCATTTATCGATTGGTTTTTCCTGCCCACTTTTTACTATCTTCTTTTTGAACTAAATTCCTTACACATTCTACTCTGCTTTCAGATATGTTTGGAAATGCTCTACTTTGCAAACTACTCTGGTGATGCTGATAGTAGTATTGTAAGAGAAACCTGGGCTAGACTAATGGATCAATCTCTTATGAGAGGTGGCATTGCTGAAGCTTGTTCTGTGTTAAAGAGGGTTGGCTCCCATGTTTATCCTGGAGATGGAGCTGGCTTGCCTTTAGACACACTTTGTCTTCACCTTGAGAAGGCTGCAATGGTACTATTTAACATCTAGTAAAATTAGTTTCTTCTAATTTATGCTTCTTATTAACTTGTTAAACGTTAATATTAGTAAAATCCTAATGGTCTTCTAGTGTTATTTCCTAGTTTGTTCTTTCTGTGTGTTGGGGTGGGTGTGGGGGTTCTTTTCCATATTGATACAAGTCTATATATATATATATATATTTTTTTTTTGCAGGAGCGATCAGCTTCAGGAGTTGAAATTGTTGGAGATGAAGATGTTGCAAGGGCTCTTCTTGCAGCTTGCAAGGGTGCAGCTGAACCAGTATTAAACACTTATGATCAGTTATTATCAAATGGGGCTATTTTGCCATCACCAAACCTCAGATTGCGCCTTCTCCGTTCTGTGCTTGTGGTCCTTCGTGAGTGGGCAATGTCTGTTCTTGGACAAAGAATGGGTACGAGTACCACTGGAGCTTCTTTGATTCTAGGTGGAGTATTTGCACTGGAACAAACAGCTGTGATAAACCAAGGAGTACGAGATAAAATCACAAGTGCAGCTAACAGGTATGACTTTTTTTCTGGTTGCACTAATTTCCTGCAAGCATGCAATTATGCTTGTATTTTGGTGGGGTATTCAGGTCTGGTGAGTGAAGGAAACCTCTTACAAGGTCAAGCCCCTAGTAGCCCTTAACTGGGATTAAAGTTAGCATGTTCGCAAGATTGTCCAATTCCATTGTCAAAGGTGTATACCAAGTGATTATTTTCTAGGTTTCCCTTGCACTGATAGCCCTTGGAGTCAGACATCTGATAAGAGAAATCAGGGCTTTGTCCATCATGAACTTGTTCGTATGAATTCCTAGGTTAGCCTCTGCTAATAGTTTAGAAGACGAGATAGGATTAGCTGAATGCAATAGCTGTTCAGTGGGCTTTGGAACCAATGATAACACCTCACACCAGTCATAGAAATACATGGGGCTCACAATCATCCAACCCCCAAGTGTGGGTCCCATGTATTTTTATGACTGGCATGGGGGCGTTATCATTGGTTCTACATCCCAGTCCACAGCCATTGCGTTCAGCTAAATCCAAATTACTGGAAGACTTTGTAGCAAGGGCAGGGGTAGGTGCTTGGCCCAGGGACAGATCTGCATGATTATATTTCTGTTGTAAATCTTAGAAAGCTATGAAAAGAATGCATATATGGATGGATAGTTTCTGATTGTGCTGGCTTTTGGTGTAGGCACCCTCTTAGCTAGGATACTAGGATATATTCAGTGGTGGGTCTTGATCCTTTATACATGGATGATGTGATGAGTTCCTTGTCCTAGAGGTGCAGATACAAACTATGGGGCCCCAGACCATGACTGTGGTTGTATTTGCAAGGATTAGAGTACTGATATCCGTATCTATGCTCACCGGCACAGGATACTTATTTTATTTGTCTTAAAGGATTTATATATTTTATTTTACATATAAATTATATGTCAAAAATGAAAACATATTTATTACTTGAAAAAATAGAGTTATTATTTATATAAAAATACTAAATAAATATTTTCCTAAAAAATTTAATAAAAGTTGTAAATTATAATTATAAAAACTGAACTAAATAATTTAAAAGTTAAATTTTCCAAAGTTTTAATAAAAAATGAAAACTATAAAAATAATTTATTTTATCTACCTTAAATGATTTATATGTTTTATTTATATAAGAATACTAAATTATTTTTTTTTCCAAAAAATTGAAAATTATATATAATTATAAAAACTGAAATAGAGTGATAATTATTGTATGATATGTACATCTTCCATAGGCTTGGTATTGTTGATTGTAATGTTTCTCTCCATATAACTATTTAAGTGTTCATCATGTATTTATACCTCATTCATAGTTAATTCAGCTTTAGATTTAGTGTTATTAACACATTTATATGATTTGTATGCATTTCTCTAGTGAATTCAAATATTTTCATATCTTTCATTCATATCCCTGTGTTTCCAAAGCGTATCTATATTCAAATTATCCTATAAAATATTCAATACCGATAGTTTAATCCTGTGTATTTGCAAATGCAAAGTACAACTCTGCTACCTAAGCCCTTTTTTGGGAGGTCTACTGTGTTTTGATTGATCTGCAATGGAAAAGCCACTTTGGTTGAGCGACTGTGTTTTGGATAAGCTACTCAAAATAGTTTCATATGAGAGTTGCTTAACCGGCATTCCAAAAGTTAATATGGATTTTCACCAAATACAATTTTTGGGCTTTCCATATGGGGATCACTCCCAAAAGCCCTCCCAAATGGGCACTGTGTTGGCATTTCCATTTTTAAGTTAGTCTATCCAATATTAGTGGATGTGATGATCTTTCTTTATTGTTGCAAGTCCAAAATTTTTAGGGGACTATGTTGATCTTGCATGTTTCTGGTTGAATTTGGAATTGCAGATATATGACAGATGTGCGGCGCTTGGCTCTTCCACAGAACCAGACGGAGGCTGTCTACCGAGGGTTTCGAGAACTGGAAGAGTCCCTGCTGAGTCCATTTCCCTACGAGCGATTTTAAAATTTTTACATTCTCTTGTCAACGGAAAGAAAAAGAAATATTTTATGTTTCATGTGTGCATTAAAATTTTCCCATGTAAATTACTTGAGGAAATAAGAAGTTATTAGAAACTAAGTACCATTCATTCAATTTAAGTATTTTAATTGTAAGGGGAAATCTTGCAGCTCAAGCAATGCCTTGGGTTTATAGATGAAATGATTGTGACCAGATGTACGAATCATGGCTACGGGTAAATGCTCAGATAAATGGTTCCGTATTTAGCTGTTCAAAACCTAAACCATTTATCCTCAGGATGTAAGAGGGGCGGGACGCAGGGGAATCGTGTCATTTCACTTGAGCTGAAGATAGATGACCCTTTCCGAGAACAAATATGACTAGCTAAAGAGGCTAATCCGGATGGTCATATGTATCTTCTCATCTTGAATGGGGATTTTTTTTGAATATTTTACATGAAACACTCCAGCCAAATCCTTTGAATGCATTGATTATGTCGACTTTGCCCTTAAGGCTGCATTTAGAAACGATGTAATAGAGGTGTAAATTGGGTCGGGCCACCTGTGGCCCCGACACGATTTTGGACCGGTTTGGCATGACACAGCACGAAGACCTATAGGCCGTGCTAGGCTTGACATGGAGGTCTGTGCTGTGTTGGGTTGGGGGTTCAAGGTCCATGGGCCGGCACGACAGCATGTGTCGTGCCACCCGTGGCCTGTGTTTTGGCATGCCCTAGCCTGCGGCATAGCACAAAGCACAGCCCACCAGGCTCGTAGAGGGTCGCGTTCAGCCCGCCTGGGAATATAGCCGTTGGGCCCCTTTGGGAGGGGTTTATAGAAATACCCCCCAACAGTTATAAACAGCTATATTAGGGGGGTATTTCTATATTTTGCTTATAGGGGTTGAAAAAATGACATAAATGCCCTCCAACAGCTATATAACTAGTTTAGGGGGCATTTTGGGTAAAGTTATAAGTAACTTTACAATGACCAAAATACCCCTCCTAATAACTAAATAACATATAGTTTTTTTGGGTATTTTGGGCAATTGAATTATGTTCAATTCCTATAAAGTCCTATCTTCCATTCTCATCACACCAATTCAACAATTCTCTTAATCTCTTCTCTCTCTCTCTCATACTCGTACATTCTCACTTATCAGCAATTTAAGAAATTCTGATTAGTTGATTGTTTGATTCTGCATTCTCTAATTCTCAAGTCTCAACTTTATCAAAGTTTCGACTTTCAACAAGAAGAAGGCTTGCTCAACCAGCTCAAGTATCTCAATTCGGTTGGACGTTGAAAGGCTTCAACTGTTGAAATTAAGTTGGGATTTTGAACCAATAATCCGGGTAAGTCGAACCAGATTAATTCTTATCTTTTTAGAATTTAAAAAAATGGCCGATTTACCATGGATGACATTCAATTGCATCACAATTGTGTTATCACTAATGCGATTGATGTCGATGGAAGTGGAACTTTCACACCCGGTAGTAGTGATACTAGGGGAAAAAGGAGGGCTTCTAAGCTAAGTAGCCCGGTTTGGAAAGTTTTCAAAGTAGAGGATATTGATGGGAAGGGGAAAATGGCTGTTTGCCAAAAATGTAGGAAAGACTTTAGTTATTATAGCAAGGGTGGGACATGTCATTTGAGCAAACATTTGCTCACACATGAGTGAGAGGAAGATGAAGGGAGAGAAACAACCCAAACACAGATTGGGAGGGGGGCTAATTTTGGTACTTTTAGATATTCACAAGAAAAAATGAGACAAAAACTTGCTAAGTATATTGTACATGCAGAACAACTGTTTATATTAGCTGAAGATCCAAAGCTAGAAAAATGGTTGCATAGTTCTATAACCCCATAATATAAAAAAGTTTCTAGGAATACTATAAAAATTGATGCTTAAAAAATTTTTTATTCATATAAACAAAATTTAATTTCTTTGTTAGAAAATCTTAATTCTAAAGTTGTAATTACTTCGGATGTTTGGACATCTAAGTTTAATATTAGTTATATTTGTTTTATCAGCCATTTCATTGATGAAAATTGGCTTTTGAATAAAAGAATTTTAAGTTTTAGTAGGCTTGAATGGCCACATAATGGCCCAGCTATTGCTGCAAGTATTTTAAATACTTTTCATGTTTATGGAAGTTTTTATAATGCCAGCAATAATGATTATGCAATAAATATTTTAAATTCTCAATTAAAACCATGCTTAAATGGTAAATTATTTCACATTAGATGTGCATGTCACATATTAAATTTATGTATTCAAGATGCCTTGAATATTATTTCTACTCATATTTCAAAAATTAGAAATTGTATTATATATATAAAAAAATCAGGGGCAAGAAAACAAGAATTTAAATATTTATGCCAAAATTATGGTTTAAAATATAAAAAATTATATTATATGTAAAGCATAGGTGGAATTCTACCTATGTTATGTTAGAAATTTGTATATCTCATAAACAAATTCTTTTTGATTTTTATAATTCAAAAATGCCTAATGATATTATATTTGAGGAAGACTGGGCAGTCTGTATAAGAAGTTTTTTAAAACTTTTTTATGGTGTAATAAATGAATTATCTAGAATTTATTATCCAACTAGTTGTAATTTACCATAACAATTAATGGTAATTAGTGATTGTTTTGCTAAATATAAAAATAATCCACAATTTCAATGTATTGTTGAAATTATGGAAAATAAATTTAAAAAACATTGGGAGAACATTTCTCCCCTTTATTGTTTAGCTACAATATTAGACCATAGGATTAGGAAAGATGGTTTAGATATTTTACTTGAAACATATTATGAAAATATGAATATTCCTACAACTTGTTCATCTTCTTCTTCTACTTCTGACCTTGAACCTAGTAGTAGAAGAGAAAAACCTTTTTATTTAATAAGTAGAAGGTAGAAATCTGCTAGTTCTACAACAAGTTCATTTACTGAACTTAATTTTTATTTGCAAGCAAATTTTTCTAATTTAGGTGAAGTATCAAATAATTTTGATATTTTAGCCTGGTGAAGTGAACACTCGAAAAATTGTCCAGTTCTTGTCGCCATGGAATGTGATCTACTAACCCCTCCGGTGTTTACAGTTCCATTGGAGTCTTGTTTTAGTGTAGGTACCAGGGTGCTAGATGACAAAAGAAGTTGCATGAACGATGAGAGCATAGAGATGCGCATCTGCTTCAAGGATTTGCTAGATGTAGAAGATAGATTACAAGACAAGGGAGGGCATGATACAACACCGGACATTTCACTCGAAGCAAATGATGAAAGTCATGAATGATGATTCATGAATTTGGCTACTTGTAGAAATTTTCATTTTTTCAAATTATTGTAATTTTTTTTAAATTTTATTTAATTTATTTGATATATATATATTTTGTATTAAATAACTTAGATTTCTCATTTCTTAATTTTTTAAATAGTTCCTAATTCCCAAAGTTCATAGGAAAGTTAAATATTTTAGTTTTACAATTTTACTTAGAAAAAAATCAAAAATGAAAAAAAATGAAAAAAAATCAATGCAGCCCGGTTAGGCCCAGCCCAAGGCCCGCCCTGTGGCCCAGCCCGGCACAGCCTGCAGCCCAGGCCCGGGTGCCGGCATGGCACAACACGGGCCTGCCTAGGCCTGGGCCATGGGCCGTGCCGTGCCGACCCCCAAAATTTCCACCGGGGAGGACAAGTCGGCCMTGCATGACCCACATTACACCTCTAGATGTAAATAAGTGTGAATGCAAATATGTAGAGTGTAAAATGGTTCATATAAATTACAAAGTTGGGTTAGTTTTGCACTAACAAATCTACCTTCTTACCAAACAAACTTTTAGCTCTAATGGATGCAAACATGAATTTCGATAAAACATATGTTTTTTTTTTAATCAAAAGCCCACTTGAATACAAATTTACTTATTTTTTATTGATGTACTTTTACATCCTATTTTCAATGTCAATATGCATTGGTTAAGCAAAGTCGACTTTGCTTCACGGTACTACAACATATATTTTGCCAATTACTAGTCGATAGTCAATAATACCACGAATCTAGGACATGGTAGATATTGTATGATAACTTTACATGATCCATGAATAAAAGATACAAAACATAAATGAGAAGGCAATTGTTATATTTGAATTACTTAACTTTTTTTTTTCTATATTTTATTCGTTTAATTTTGTGAGCTAGGAAAAGAATGAAGTCAAATGGGTTAAATTTCTTTAAAATTACTAACATAAATTAAGCCAGTTTTGTAAATAATGTTATTTACTTTTGTAAATAATCAATATGTTGTTATTTACATATTGTAAATTAAATTATCAAGTAATACTTTATAGAAATATATTATCTTAATTTTGCAACATTAGTTCCATTAGAATTCCAAGATATATCATATCATATGTGGCTCATATATTTTAATCAAGGTTTATAGTATCGATACATATCGACCCATATCGGTCGATATGTATCGTATCGGGAGCTTCCTGATATGCCCCTACAAAGGGTATATCGGGGTTTTGACCAGTTCAAGGAGTGTACGGACCTTAAATTGGCCTCTCTGAACCGGATTTGAGAAGAAAACTAAAAAAACTATCGATACTGCCCGATATACCTCTACCAACATATCGGGTGTATTGATATTTTGAACATTGATTTTAATTATTAAAAATATTATTCTATTTTTTATTTCTCTAAATTATTAAAAAACTAAAAGAATCATTTATTATCATAAGTTGTGACGGATCAATGGATTTTCTTTAAGGCATCAGATCAATGGATTTGATAGATCATTCATATACCCATCTTATAGTTCTTTCTTATCATCAAAACCATTTGAAGTTTTTTTTTTTAATGATTTTTGGTCCATAAATCTACTAAATACAAGAAAAAACATCACGTATCCAATGAAAAATTAATTTATTACTGCATTTCCAGCACCAAAATATGTAGTATCTACTATTGAAGAATTAGATGAAAAGAATGCTTTCTTAAACTTATTTTTTATTCTAATGAACTTTTTTTCTTTTTTTAATGAAAGATCTCAAGTGTTGTTGTAGATTAATACTCTCCCATAGTTGTCTAGGGTGAGTATGTTGTAGATCTCAAGTGTTCTTTTAATCTAACCATAAAGATTGAGTATG